CGATTCCGGTCACGTTTTCGGTCACGTTTTCGACGATCGTTACGCAACGGCTCTAACCGGATTTCCCTCTAACAATATGATGAATTCATGACCAAAATTTGATGAATAAATCATGCGGATCAATCAAACTTAAGATTTTGCGGATATAATCCATACACTCATTACATTCGTTCCTGGTAAATTTTACTAATGAAATCACAGCCGTCCATTAAGCGAAAAAAAATTGTTCCTGGGTTAATTTTACAATTTTGCGAGCCATTTCTTTGAAAATTTCTATTTTGGGAAATTATGTAATGCGGACCAAAATTTCGCAGATCTACGGCCGTTAACTAATCAAAATCATGGGGCTAGCAATGCTAGTCTAAAAAATTTCGCTTATTAAAAAAAATTTCGCTAAGAAAAAAACATTTCGCAATTAGTTTAGGGTTAGGGTCCACCAGTAAGTTAGTATTTGGTTTGAAGTGCGTTACACCTGATCTCGAAATCTGATTGGCTATCGAAATTTTTTAGAGTTAACCAAACTTGAGGTAATATATAAACAATCTTAGGAAAAATCTCTTAATACTAAAGAATTACAAAATCATCTCAAAGATTAAACTGACAGTTTCTTTTTTGGCTAATAAATCGAAAAGCAAAATTTGCCTAAATTTTACATGACTATGTGACATGTTGTACGTATAGTACGTATATGATGTATAAACTAGCTATATACAAAATTCAGCAAGAAATAATTTTGCTTAGAAAATAAAAGACGGTTTCATAAGGGAAAATTTGAGATATAAACAGATTTGTGATTTATTCTAGAACATTCTAAATGGGTTGGTACACAGCAAAACCATGCTTTGAGTATATGTACCAGCCCAAATATTTTTTTGCGTACTATACAATACGCTCATAAATAGTACTTTGTATTTCATAATAAGTGCTTGTACTCATCGTTATTTACAAAATCAGTTTACTACTCATCTGAAAAAAAGACTTGAAAGAATTTAACACTATAGAAAATTTAAAATTAACAACTTCAGTCAATGATATTGTTATTTACAATGGTTTTTAAAAAATTAGATCAAATAAATTTAGAAAGAATAGGATGATTCAGAATTAAGGATTTAGCCTCCAATTTCAGATAAAACAAGTGACATATTTGCTTTAAAATACGCGATCCATAAAGCTTGTTTTTTTTAACGTATAATGTATACTTATCTGACATTTCATATGTGTGAATTTTTTTGCAATGATATATTTTGCACAAAATTACGTCATCATTTTTGCAAAATATCAGGAAAAACTTCACACGGTCATATATAAGGTAGTATTGTGCCGACTGCCCAATATTTCATACTTAGTTTCAGCACTCTATAATCACGTTAGACACAAAAAATTACGTAAAAGTATAATGATTTTATTGATTTTATTTGTTAGGAAATCGAAATAACGAACTACATAAATCATCGGAACACATACTGAATATCAGATAATCTTAGCGGAAAAAAATTCTATCAAAATTTTTTTAAAAATAGTACAATTTGGGAATCAGACATCAAGATCTATAGTAGAATATGGGATCTTTGCTATGAAAATGACCCTCCAAAGCTATGTTGATTTCATGAATGAAAAATCAAATTTACTATCCATCTAGTTATCCAATTTGAATGATTTTTTTATTTTGTAAAGCTAAATAAGCTTTACAAATTAAAAAAAAAAAGAGCATTCAAATTAGATAACTAAGTAGCCGGTAAATTTAATTATATTCGTGAAATCAACATAGCTTTGGAGGGTCATTTTCATAGCAAAGATCCCATATGATTTTTTTCTTTATTTTTTATAAAAATTTCCGTTTCACTTTTCAGATATTGTAGAGCAATTGTTCTTGTTTTTGCACTTATTCTTGAATTTCAAGAACAAGTCAAGAACCATTGTGTGACTATAAAAGCGATTTAAAAATTCATGAAACATTCGATTGACTTTTTTAGCCATTTGTTTACACAAAATGGTTTATAAATATTAGATACATAACATAATCAACAATAAAAACAAATAGATGTTCACAATTAAGAATATATTAACAGCATTGGTAGCTCTCTATGAACAAATTTAAAATTCATTACAACTGTATTGGTCACTTGCTAAGCGAAATTATAACACACAGTTGATTAAATTTCCTATATATTTGTTTGGTCAATCACACACCACTTATGATTGATTCTACTAATTATTCACATATCGGAGCATTTGTGTTATTAATCAATTTATAGTTCTCCGATAGTGAAGTGGTGGGGGAAATTAGGCACCCATCAGAATGCCTGTTAAGCATTGAAGCCATACCTGTATGACAAAGCATGTAAGGGTTCGTATATTTTTAAGTAAACAATACCATAACTAATACCTGTGCGTTACAAGGAAAGTTAGTCATATTTTATTGCTGTTTCAGCTTAAGAATATTTGATATAAAACAACCATTATGTTTTACTCTAATTGTTACTTGCTGAAAAATCGAATTATAAAAATTAAATCTAATAATAAAAAGTCTCAAAAAGTTCTTATGATAAAATAAACAATCTTTTTACAACAGTTATAATACTTTTATACTTTAATATGAGTGAAATTCGGTATGATATCGCGTGGGCTGTGTTTCATAGAATATGTGTGTTGACTGATATAAATGAATTCGAAGCTGACATGAAAACAGTTGAATGCGCTATCAATAAATATAAGTTTCTGACACAGTCAGAAAAAGATTATATAATTTTTCAATTTAGTATTCTAGTTGATAAAGTTAACATTTCTAATAAGAAAACTGAACAAAGAGAATGTGAAATTTGCCAAAATTGGACTTATGCTCAACAATACTGTGATTATTGTATTAGAAATTATTTAACAGATCATTTTAATAATTGGTCCTCTGGTAATATTGAAATCGATGAGCTAATTCGTGAATGCCAATTAAATACACAGAGACCAGATTATGTCGTTGAATGGATACCATACAAAAATTTCAGTGATATAAAATATAAAACTAAAGGAGGATGTTCTTCTATTTATAATGCTATTTGGAAGGATGGAAGATATGATACGTGGGATAAGCAAAATCGTCGGCTTAAAAGAGCCGGTACCGAACATGTCATTCTTAAACGTTTGGATCATTCAAATGGATTAAATAAAAAGTGGATAATTGAGGTTAGTTGTTTGCCATTTATATATTTTGTATTAAACAATTATTATTTTATATTACAATGATATTTTCTTTAGATTAAGTCACATCTGAACTTTATGAATAAAATCTCTTGTGTTGTTCGTTGCCATGGAATAACCTTTGACCCTAATACGCAAGATTTCATGTTAGTATTGAATCTTATGGAATATAGTTTACGTGAATATTTACTACAAAACCACAAATACATTCTATGGGAACAAAAAATTAGGATAATTTATGATATCGCATATGCTATAAATATGATTCATCGATTAGATACTATTCACAGAGACCTACACTCCGGTAATGTCCTCCAAACCAGGTTTTCAAAATGGTGGTATATTAGCGATTTTGGTTTATATGGATCCGTGACCCAAGAACAAGGGGATATATATGGAAATCTTCCATATATAGCTCCGGAAATTATAAACGGCAAACCAGCAACAAAAGAATCTGATATATATAGCTTTGCAATGTTAATGTGGGAAATATTATCAGGAATACCACCATTTCAGGGTCGTGACCATGGTTCTAGTTTAGCTTATGATATTTTAGAAGGTATTCGACCACCAATTGACAAATATACGCCTTATTGGTATACTAAATTGATGAAACAATGCTGGGATGCTAATCCTAAAAATAGACCCAAATCAAGTACAATTTTGAATGAAATAAGAAAACAATTACGAATAATTTATCAAAATGAACTGGAAAACAGTAAACCTATTCAGATTGCAATAAATAATAATGGAAACACTGAAAATCAAACTTATTCACCATCAACAACTTTGAGCAAAATATATAAATTTAAAGATTTGCCTGAACCGCAAAATAGAATTCAAGGTAATTGCTTGAATTGCTTTACACAGTATATCATGCATAAAGATGAAGTTACATTGGGTTGAAATTAGTTCTTGAAATTCGATCTTCTTCTATGCATTATCTAATATAATTTTAGGCTGCCTCTAACTTCAAACATGATATATATACAAATCAATAATTTTAATGAATAGACATGCAGAGTAAATGTTGCAAATAGTTATTGTTTAAATTAATTTAACCTTTTAACTTTATGTTTAGATTATGATTTTAATGACGATGATTTCATGCGTATTAATGAAATACTAAAATGTAAAATTTATTTAAGTTTAGGTGCATAACTCTTACATTTAATGAGTATGTACTAATATATATTTATTTTATTAGTAGATTCTACAGATGATGATGAATTTTTCGACTTATTTGGAGAATAATTACGTTTTTTATAAAATTAATCCTGTGGTGAATCTATTAGATTAATATAGTATCGGTATAGTAAAATTTACAGGTACTACTTAATTCATCATTTAATCTATAATAGTGTGTCAAATTAAAAAAAAAAAATAGAGGAGAGCTATCAAGTGCTCCGATAAAATGCATAGATGATCGATGTCTTTCCCTCGCTCTCCAATGCGCTGATTTAGAAAACAATACAAATTTCCAACAGGTTTTTAAAAATGATCCTGACATCACAAAGTTTTATTTTATTGTACACAAATTTGTTTTATTGTGAACTTCGATGACACTAGGCACTATTTTGCGCAATCACATATTTTGTCAATTATTAATCCGAATAACTCATTCGGTAATTTTTCACTAATTGAAGGATAACTTGGATTGATTTTAATATGATTGGATATTAAGCTTATTATAATTCAAGTTTATTAACAAATTTTTAATATTTTGTTTGATATTTATAATAAATTATTCTTATTATCTTTATATTTATGCTAGAAGTAACAAAAATAGCTATAAACACACATATAAAAAGTATTAATTTGAAAATTAATAAAATTATATTATTAGCAATACAGACAATATACGGTTAATATATTTAGATGTTGTATAATAGTAGTATATACGATTTTTTTTGTACATGCATAAAAAAACATACATTATTGATTATAATAACGAGATATTTATAGGGTTTGCATACCAAACACTTGCCTCGTGCCTGTTAAAAACTTTATCATGCTAGGCATAAGAAAAAAATCATTCCAGGTATTTTTTTAAGCATTAGTACTAGTGCTAGTGCCTAGTACACGCCAGTATTTACTGTACTAACACCAGTGTCTGGCACATGCCAGTGTTAATCGACACTATTGTTTGACTGGGTAGTTTATAAAAATTTATTAGTAGTCAATCAAATAATTCTATTCAAATAGCGTAAAATAAAAATTCATTATTTTATTTTTCAATTAAATACCTAAAATATTTATAGTATTATAATATAGATGAAATATAAATTCTGTCATTGTTTCTTATTTGTTACTGGCACTAGCGTTTAGTATTTGCATGAATACTTGCAGACCAATAGGTACAAAGACTTCACCCCTACAATTACCTGGTGCTTTGTGTGCTTATAGGCATTGACACGGTATGAGGTAATCGTGCCCGACAAAGTGTCTCATGTTCCGGCATGGACATTTGCAGACCCTAATTTTATAAGAAAAATATATATTTCTATTTTTATGCAAAAAAATTTATAAATTAAAAAATCTTTAATTATCTTAAATTAGTTGGATAGGATCTGAATAGATTAAAAAAGATTAAAATCAAAATACTTATAATTAACTCTAAAATTGGTCTTAGTACGTTAATTGTAAATACCGAAAATAAATATTACCATACTACACAGCCTTTAATATCCCCTTCAAATAATACCCGGATACATTACAAAAAAAACCCTCTCAAAAGTATATATAAGATCCGTGCATTAAGATTTAATAGATTTAATTGGAAATTATTAAAGCATAGTACAACTATGTCACAATATCTCCTGGTTGTGTACCCGCTCTTGGTTAAATACGAATGGATATATTGCCATGTATAATACGCCTTTATTTTTGATAATACCCGAGGCAATGCGGTACGGTATATATAAAAAATAATTTATAGTATTTTTAAAGATAAAACCTTTATTTTAAATTTATATATATGTATATTTATGTAATTTTTTAATAATTACTATATATAATTTATAAATAATCAGATTGATCTATATAATTAAGAGATAAAAAATAAATGACTGTTGCTAATTTTTACCTTATGTGATATCATTAATTTGTATAAAAAGTTAATCAGATCACTAAATCCTGTATAACCAAAACGAAGTAAAGAAAAGAAAAAACAAAAACTTTAATAACTCAAAATCTTATTATAAAAATCATACTTCAACTTTAAGCAAAAATTTTAATATTAAATTTTATATATACTTAACTTTTTTACTCTAACTCAAGGCTAACTCTAATTTCTAACCTTAAATTTATCGTAGTTTAAATAAGAAATATATACTATCAGGTGATATTATTCAAATAAAAATTAGTAAAAAATTAATAATTATCAAAATAGATTATATACTAAAGTTTATTATATAGTTTATTGACTTTTTATTTACTCAATAAGATTTTTTAAAATAAATATATAATAAAGTTATATAAAATTAAAATGTTTATTGCTTTTAAAATCCCTATTCATAGGGTAACCGAAAGTCACTCACGTAACGACGAACGTGTTAGTACTCAAAGAGGCGTTGGATTTGGGCGAGTACTAAGGGTGATATCACTTTATTAATTATACTGAGAGACTTGTCTTTTTACATTTTAAGCGCATTACTTATATACTTTTCTCTATCTACTAAATACGCCACATCTATTAATTACACTAATTACGCTACACCTACTAATTAATATATATATTATTTTAATTATGTGATCGATTTTAATAAAATAAGTAGCTGCGCAACGTTGTCGCGCGAAACCAGGAACGGGAGAAATCTACACAGACACCATTTCAGTCACG